ACCTATCCTTAAAAAATGGGTAATGTATAACCTCTCACTAAAAGGAAGAAAAACTATAATAAATACTGTAGTTAATTTCTCAAGTTTTACATTTGGTCTTTGTTGTACCCCTCCCGAATAAACGAATTTTAAATTTTTAAGGTTGAAATAAACAATTTTTTTGTGGGCCAGAAAAGATTTAAGATCAAGTAAAGAAATGTCACAGCATAAAATAAAGCATGGGGGGGGGGGGCTGAAATAGTAAGTTTAACTAATAAACTAAAGGCTATACAAATACACTGGGTATCCAAAATGCACAATAACAAATTTGAAGGTTCGTAGAAGAAAGCCAGTTTTTACTTACTAAACTCCCATAGACTAGCAAACTAAATTAAAACATTTTTGAAACCAATCCGACGCAGCTTAAAATGCTCCCACCATTTTACAGACAACTGTTAAACAATTTTTACAAAAAAGAGATACAAGAATTTGTCTCTTTTTTATTTTTTAGAAATTTCTTCGATTAAAAAGTAGGAAAATTTAGAATTTCTTCGATTCCACAAATAGGAATCTTTGATTCCTATTTGTGGAATGGAAGAAATTCTAAATTTTTCAATTTTTTTTAATAAAAACATTCGAAGTAAAAACTATTTAATTGTGCGAAAAATACACATAAAAAATGAGGTAGTTTTAGTAGCTGACATAACAAAAACTTTTTAACCAGGATTTTAAAATTTGAAATCATTTGGTTCAACTTTTGAGTTGGAGCTAAAAAATATAGCGACAGCTCAGCCGATTGAAAGGAAAAATAAAATCTTAAAAGAAGGACAAAATTTTGACTTCAAAAAAGTTCCATTCTATATTGAAAAACGAAAAGAAAAGTATGAACATAAAAATCTTACAGTTTCCACACTTTTTAAACTTCTTAATAACCAAAAAAAAATTATACACCCATAAATTTCATAAATGGGTACCAATTTATTGTAAAAGTATAAAAACAATAAATGATAAAGACTGGGAAAACCTTTTTTTTTAAATACATAAAAGGAATTCAAATAATAAAGCAAGTTAAATGTTTTTCATAACAGCCAATTTTTTATTACCTACAAACGAAATGATGTTTAAAAAAGGGTTGAGAAATGATATAATATGCCCGGAATGTAAAAAACATGACGAAAACATACTTCATCATCAATCATATGATGCATAAATGCGAAAAAGTGCAACCTTTGATACTTTTTTCACTCGATATTCTTGATCAAATTTACCCCATAAGCTATCCTCATTTTAACACTTTTGAATTTATTTTGTTTGGATACGCCGCAAACGCGAGTTGTACAGAGTTCGGTAATATTTTATTAGAAATTCTTGTCACGGAAATATTTTGTAACAGGATGAAGTGCCATTTTAAAAATAAAGTTTTTACTCTGAAATATTTACTGAGAAAATTTGAATGTAAAATCAGATATTTGCTCAAGTATGAACTAATGATAAATATAAATTTACACGAAGAAAATAAATATAAAGATGAAACAAGAAACATTTTTACTAAAGGTAGTTTAAATTTGTTTGCTAATATACGAAATTATTTTGACTAAGAAAAAAAACAAAAACTTATGATAAATATTTATATATTTAGGATTTCACTATTTATTTTGTTTTTGTAATCTTTTTTTTTACTTTTTGTTTTTCTTTTATGATTTTGATATATATTTAAACTCTTTTTGTCGTATTTTTGCATTAGAAATATTTCTGATTTTTAAAAGTTCCTAGGACATCTTTTTAAATTTTAAATTTTTAAATAGTATATTTTTTACTATCTTGATTTTTTTATCTTTACGTTTACCAACTTGTAACATTATGAGAAAAGCGTCAATAAGGTAATTAGCTGGATGACGAAATAAACTAGAATACAAAATAAAAAGAAAAAAAAAAAAACATTAAAAATGAAAGTCTTAATCAAACTTAATTAAAAAAAGGTTTGAATTAAGATATACAACAGTTACCTCAAGCTAATTACGTGTATAGTAACGTATTGCACCTTCTAACATCGTATGCAATCCTATCCGCTTTCTCTATGCTATCTTTTTAACTTGACTTCTATCTTTCACTCTCACATATCATCATTTTTCCCCAAATGACTTTACTCTTGGTCCTTACAGCGGGTTATGACGCTCCTTGGGACACGAACTTGTTTTTATGGGTCTTAGTAATGTGGCCTCTATATGGCCACTAGCCGGAGGAGGATAAATCACAATACCAATATTAAAAATGAAAAATTTACAGATTTTTTATTTGCCTAGTAGATGTGTATTTTCAGGAGATACTGGTTCTAAAAGTTTTCATAAAAGTATGCGCTGCCTAGTTTCGGTAAAGCAGCTATAAATAACCCCTTAAATGGACTACAATGGTCCTTAATTAGTTTGATAAAGGAAAAAATTATAGATAAAAATAAAAATATGTTTGTTATAATTAATTAGATTGTTTGTGATGTCAAATAAGGATACTATGAAAAAAATTGTCTCTCAGTTCGAGCTGACTTGTATCATTGAAGTGACAAAAATAGTATAGCCATTTGGTCAATATGTTAGAGAAAAAGTTTTTTTCATTTATTAGGTTTATTATATGAAATATAATAAACCTAATAAATGAAATAAAAACAAACTTAACTTTCTTTCTTGCTTATTACATTTAGCATTTTATCATTATTATTTTTTATACATATTTATCAATGTTATATAACAAAATTACCAAATGAGTCCAGGACCGTCCCGAAAGGAGGGTATTCCACCCCCAAAGCTGTCAATTAAGCATTTGAGTTGGCGCATTGAGCAAGTTTTGAACTAGAGTTGGCAAATTGCAAATATTGAGGACCTTTCCTTTTTTTTGGTGCCTCTCGTTGGCAAAAAATACATACAACACCCCTCCCCTACCAATAGAAGGTCTTTCTGGGACGGCTCTGAATGACCCACAGAAGTTCATATTTGAAGTAATGTCTTATAATATTATGAGAAAACTTAAGACGAAAAGTCAAAAAAAGAACAAAATTGTTACAACTTTAAAGTAAAAATTTCAAAAAACGTTGACAAGTTACATATTATTACACCAATTTTAATAAACATCCCAAGTAGCAACACAATATTGGCACGATATTGGATATCTAGGCTAATCTTGGCCAAGATATCCGATATTGCGCCAATATTGTCAAGCAATATTACGCCAATATTGTCTTACCAATATCGCCAAACAATATTGCGACAATATTATCCATTATCGTTTTACTGATATTGTTACGCCAATATTGGCGAAATATTGCGCCAATATTAACCCGTTATCGATTTACTGATATTGTTATGTCAATATTGACGAAATATTGTTTGCCAATATTGGCTTTATATTAAATTTTACATATTGGTACGCATGCGTAACATTAAGGAATATTTATAATGTCCTTTAGTTTTGTTGAATGTGTTTAAACAATAGCACCTTTTTACATAAACAGGCATCCTTATGTTACTAATATTTTTACAAAAACAAATAAGAGTTCAAAATAATAATTTTAATTTATGAAAAGAGAAGAAGTGTTGAATTAAACATTTAAAGAAAATTAAACATTTTTTTAAAAAATTTAATACTAAAACCAATATGAATTTTATTTAGATAAAGAAAAAACTTAAAGATGACAGAATAGAAAAAACTGATTTAGGAAAGATAAATACAGAGATTTTTTGATATATATATTTTTGTTTTTTGGTAAAACAAAAAATATATATATCAAATATATCATCATGTCTATAAACCATATATATAATTATTTTTTTCTTACAATTTAAACACAAACCATACATACATCTGATCATTGTCTTGTTTGTTACTTCAGACATCGGACAACTTTCATTCTCCATATTTAAATGTCATACAACATAACACTCTAGATGCATGTGTCATATAACTACTCTTTGAAATTGAGTGAAAATATCTACGTTTTTTCGAACACTTTTCTCTCCACCAGCTAATTCAACAGAAAATAAATACAAAGCAACAAATTAAAAACTTTAATTTTGAATTTAACATTACATTACATTATATATATATATATATATATATATATATATATATATATATATATATATATATATATATATATATATATATATATATATATGTATATATATATATATATATATATATATATATATACTATATATATATATATATATATATATATATATATATATATATATATATATATATATATATATTATGTATATATATATATATATGTATATATATATATAAACATATATGTATATATATCGCCATGTTTATTTTAGGAAAGCTTTTCTCTGCTCTTGCCCTCATTTATTCCTGCTGAGGCCTGTGAATATAAATCTCCTAAAATAAACACGGAGAGCCATGTTTATTTTATAATTAATAAAAATTGCTTATTAAAAATAAAATTTGGTTTTATACTTGTTACAAGCCAGGGTGTTAGCCAGAAATATATATTTTACTGCGTTTAAGTAATATTGGTAATATTTATTGTTATTGTTCAACAAAATATTGGTAATTTTTATTGACATTTCTTTATAACACATCAAAAAAAAAAAAAAAAAAAGGTTATTGAATTTAGGAATTCATTGGGATTTCCGCGGTATACGCGGTGCCATGGTTGACACCCTGCAAGCATATGTATGTAACGTTAATGTTACAATAATAAACACACGACAAGCGTCATTTATTGCGCCAAAAAAAAATTTCCTTAGTCATAATTTATTTTTTGCAAAAACCATGCCTGTTTATTATACAATTATTTAAATTTTCTTTGTCCTTTGCTTTTTTAAATTTAGTTACAATAGAAAAAAAAAAATCTTAAGCAAGAGCCTTTAATTAATTGGCTGAGGCCTATATATAAAAAAATAAAAAAATATATATGTATCAAGTTTTCATAATATATTATTGATTTTTTGTTAATGTCTATATTTTAAACAACCATTTTAGATTGTATATTTTTTTATTGTAAACTTAGGAAAAAAAGCAGAGAAGAATTTGCATATTTTGTAAAGAAATTTTTTGTTATTTACCTTGACATATTAAAAGTCGACACAAATTCGAGCCAAGAGTTGTAAATTTAAACAAAGAACTTTTAAAAAAAAAACTTAATCTAATAAGAAGAAAAGGGATAATACAGTTCAACATAGAACAAGCCAAAAAAGCTACACCAACTTACCAAGTGGAAAAAAGATCTAATATTAAAATAAACAAACAAAATGAATTCAATTTAACAACATGTAGTAACTGCCACACTACATTATTGAAGCATAATTATCCACGACATAAAAAAAATGCCAAAGAACAACAAGTAACCCAATTTTTAAAACACCAATAACGGGCACAAAGGTTACAATACCAAATACAAATAATCCATTACTTAATTTTATTATAGACGACCCTTTATTTACAAGAAACATCCTGTGCAAATTAAGAGATGATGAAATTGGAAAATTATGTCGAAATGACACAGCTCTTCTATGCATTGCATATGAGTTTTTTGACAAAATTAAAAGTAAAAGAGACAAAGCAGAAGAAGTAGGTCCCAAATAAGAAAAAATATAAGAAGTCTAGCCAAACTGTTTTAAGTTTTTAGTAAAGAAAAAGAAATTATCAAAACATACAACAATGCAGCCAACATGTTTGAAAGGAAAATTTTTTATTATTTTAGATGTGCTGTCGATACCTACACACAAAATCCAAATGGTGAAAACTCAAATATAAAACCAGGACTTAAAAAAACATTATACTATCTTATAAAAAACGCAGCAGAACATATAAGAGCCTTTTACATTTCAACAAGAGGAGATGAACAGGTAAAGGAGCTGGGACTATTTATCGATTTATTGAGATCAAAAAAAAATTATATATTTGGTGATGCTGATTATGAACTGGACAGAAATCAGCATTTAAATCTTAGAAAACCAGATAAGATGCCGCTGGAAGAGAATATGCAAACTTTGAGAAGTTACGTTATAAATTCGATGAATAAAACAGTTTTTAATAACAACTATCAATTTGACAAAGACTCAAGTACTTTTGTGCGACTTCGAAACTATGCATGCATAAGGTTAACAACATTTAATAGGAAACGAGGAGGAGAACCGGCACGAGTGACTTTACAAAATCGGAAAGAATGTGAAAATAAGGAATTCCTTGACAAACAAAGGAACAAGGATATGATTGAAAAGTATGAAAGTTTATTTAATTTTTTTAAAATTATATTTGTGGAAGGTAAAGGTTGAAAGACAGTGGGGATACTAGTTCCCTTTGACACCATTTCAGCTCTAAAAAAACTTGCGAATGAAAACTTTCGAGAAGTAGCAGGAGTATCAAAAACTAATAAATACTTATTTGCAAGTACACAAAACTCAGAAGACCATATAATAGGCTGGCATTCAGTTAAAACAGTAATATCAAAGCTGAACCTTATTAACCCAAATACAATATATGTTACAAGTAACCGACATAGAATCAGTTATCTACATGCAAATCTGGACGTTCCAGAAACAGAAAGAGAACTATTTTATGAATATATGGGACATTCAAAAGAAACAAAATAAAACATGCTACCAAACTCCATTATCAGCAAAATATATAGCATTAGTTGGAAAGCAACTAAAAGAGTTTGATTCCGGTAATACCTAACAATGTTTAAACTTTTAAACTTACTTAAATATTACTGTTTTAAAACATATTTCTTCTTGTTTTTTGGTTAAAATATATCCTTTTTTTTCTGGTTATAAAGGTGAGAGTTCATCATCATCAATAAAAAAAAAGATAATACAGCAGACACTCATGATGATAGCGATGATTATGAAGACAAAGATCAAGGTTTGAAACTTTTTTAATACTATCCAAAACTTTTTTATGTTTAATATCTAAAGAACTTGAACATAAAAAAAATTGAAATTACCATTTAAATTTTAATAAAAAATAGATGATACAGCAGACATTCATGATGATAGCGACGATTACGAAGACAAAGACCAAGGTTTAAAATTTTTTTAAGACTATCAAAAACTTTTTTATGTTTAAAATCTAAAGAACTTGAACATAAAACAAAATGAAATTACAATTTAATACTGTTTATAAAAAAAATGCTGTTTTTATTCTTAGTTTATTTACTAGGTAACGTTACTGATACTGATAATGAAGAGCCGTTACATAAAAAAATTAAAAATGGTATGATTTGTTAAAGTTTTTAAAATCGATATAGAGTTTTATTTTTTTCAATATTTACTTTATTTTAAACTCCAAACAAAAGTTGAATTTTTTAAAACTATATTCAGTTAAAAAACATTATGTTAATAATAATATTATGTTCATAGAAAATGAAGACGGATATGATGACCATGATGATGATATTGATTTTAAAACCTATACAGAATCAAAACTAAAGAAAAAATTTGTATTAAGATCAAAACTTCCAGATTGTAAGTTTCTAGTATTGATAAAAAACTTTAAAAATTAATAGGACTTTTTCCATAACATTTTAAAAAACAATTATGTGATAATAAAACATTTTACAAGAAAAAAAACAAAAACTTTTATTATTCTATTCATTTGAGTACTAAATCAATAACAAACTACTAAAACATAAAAATGGTTTAGCCAAATTCAATAACACAGTTTCTCCGAATATTCCTTTATTAAGATTGTATGAAAACTTTAATAAAAATATTTATTAACCTTTTCTTTATACAATGCATACATTTTTTGTTTTTATTCTTCTTAAGTATCACCTCAATTGACTTCTTAAAATTTATTTTACTATCTACTAAACTTGTTTGCTATAACATTTTTTATTATTGATTATATATTATAAACAGTTTGAATATATTTTTTCTTAAATTTCAACAAGCAAAAGAAAACGAAAAACTTGGAAAGCTCTACGCAAATGAAAAATCAAGGTTGGTCAATAACTATTATTATGTTGTTTTATTCAGAATATAGAACCAAAAAAAGCTTTATATCTTAAATATAGCTTAACATCCTTTTTTTAGTTTTTTTTTGTAATGTTGCTTTGACAATTACAAAACTAAAAATATTTAGATATTCTGAAAGCTAATACCAAAAAGTAAACCCTTATATAAATAATATTAATTTTAGTTACTAATTTTAGTTAGTTAGTAAACAATGGTTTTATTAAACGTTTAATGTTAAAAGTTTAATGAAACCATTGTTTCATTAAACTTACGTTTAATGAAACAATGGTTTCATTAAACATAAGTGAATTATTTTGAATTTGAATTTTGTCAACACCTTAATAAATTTTTTCCTTTTGTCTTGACTATTTGTTTTATTAACTGTTGTTAGTACTGATTATATAATCAAGCACAGACACTTTAACCCATAATATTGTGCAATCGTTGGTTATTTAACATTAAACCAACGTTAGCCTGATTAACGTTAGAACGTCTTTGGAACAACGTTGCTTTATTTACGTTTTTACTTTTGTCATCAACACAATTAAAAACAAAAAAAACTTGCACATTTTAAAATGGTTGAAAAACCGTTAATGAAGAAAATGTTATTTTTAATCTGGTTTTTAGGGATTATGATCTGTAATACTAATGTTTATTACATTGTTTTTTTATATTCTCTAGTCGAATTATATATGTAGTTTTTAAACATTGTCATGAGAAAATAAAGTTACAAAAACTTTATTTGACTATCAAAACTATTCAAAAACGTTTTTGTTATGCTTTTGTATATTTAACATTATATAGTAAAATTTTCTGATATATAAAGTATTACACATAATATTTAATTTAAAAATAACTAATGCAATAATGGCATTCTAAATACCTATTATTAAACTAATTATTAGTTTAATTAAATGTCAATAAAAATAAAGAGTTCATTTTTTATGACATTTAATTCAACTGTTTTATATATTATCTTATGTTATTTTTAGTTTCTTGTGGAACTAATTCTAGACTAGAACTTACCTAATAACCTTTCTTATAACTTGTTTAATGTGTTTCTTGAATGAATTTTTATAGTAGTATTTTTTTATATAGAGATTAGTTTTTTTTTTTGTAACTTGTTATAAAAAGCAAAAAAAAAAAACAACAAGATTATAGAATTAGTATTGTTATCACTTTTGTATTTTTCTTAAACATTAAAAAATGCTTTTAGTAAATACATTTATTAAGCTATTTAAAGATTATTTTATTTTTTGAAAAGAATACATAATTATATAATAAATTGTTATATTAAACTTAAATTTTTCATTTTTTTGAAGTAAACTGATAAAGATTTATAATCAATTTAAAATTTCCTTTTATTGGTTTAATTCTGAAAAAAAAAATTTATTTTTTCTTTGGTACCCTATAATGAATTGCTATTATATCTAAATGGTGTCATTTAAAGTGGCTTGTGCAAGACAAGGTTGCCTTTGACATCATCTCTTTAGGTTGAGTCAAAAAGAAAATTTTGAGATGGCCAAAGAAAGGAGCAGAAAAAAAAGTTAAGTGATTCTTAAGTTAAATTTACTGATAAAAGCTTTATCACATGCTACTCCTATAATATTATAACTGTTACTGACTCACAAGATTTTGAGTCTCAAGTTTCATAAAAAGATCAAAATTAGTTTTTTAGTTGTTTACATATTAGGTTATTTTTATTGATTTATTTTTTATTGATATTTACCTCCCCATGGCTGAGAGGGTCTCTACAGTTAAGGATGCTTGATTGTTGTTGCATCTAGGGGTGTGGAGTTGTAAAAAAAAAGTAACAACTCTGGCTACAATTGTTGAAACTTTCAGAGAACGACTCCAACTCCAAATTCAAAGCAAAAGTTTTGAAAAATTCTTTGAATTCTTAAAAAAAATATTACGCGATAATATAAAATTTGTTTTTGTGCCTTTAAATGTTTTATATATGCACGTGTAATACCCAGAAGTTTTACTATTGGAGTTGGAGTCACAATTTTGTTTAGTGACTCTGCTACAAATGTCACAACTCTGACTCTCCCACTCCGATTTCACTACCCTGGTTGCAACCCTTGCTCAACTCCAAAACACAGTCCTTGACATACAAGACTACTGAGCAGTAAAATAAGTTAAGAGCCTCACTTCCAGGGATGTGTTGGGGATCAATTTCCAAACTTCTCACTTATAAAGCAAGCACTTTGCCACTACACTACTACCACATTTTAAGGTATTTGTTTTAATTTTTTAATTTTTTACTTAATAATTTGATATTAGTTTTTTTCAGCACTTGGCAAAGCATTTACTTTAAAACCTAAAATTAAATCTGATTTTAGGAGTAGAAAAGCATACAGAAAAAGCAACAGAACACCTATGTTTTAAAGCAGAACTTAGTCATGATAAATAAATATTGGTTTGAACCAATTAAAATCTCATATTTCTCTTGTTTCAGACTTAAAACAAAGAGCTAATTTTAACCTTTCCAATAAATTACATGCAATGTTAAAAAATATTTTTTGTTGAATACTGTTCTTTTTATTTTATTTTTTGTTGAATACTGTTCTTTTTATTTTTTTATTTGTTATTTATTATTATGTGTTAAGAGTTCCAATACAAAGTTATTAAGTTGTGTGAAATTAACACAAGTAAATCCAAAAATACATCACCACATCTTAAAAATTTCAACTCAGCTGTTGAGCAATAGAAGATTTGAATGAATTTACACTAAGAAAACTGGGTAACAAAGGTTTTATATTAAGTTTTATGAGTTATATTTTAATATGTTTAACAAGATTTAAAAAATAAAAGCTGGATAATTAATTGACTGTAAATTATTTGCTGTTACAACTTATGCCAGCCTATTTATTATTTTATCAATATTTTTTAGTGTTTTAGGCTGGATGCAGTATAACTAAATTGTTATTGAATAATTTTAATGTTTTAAAATTTTGTTTTATTAAAAAATTAATTGGATAAAAATATTTTTGTACTTATGGTTTTGCCATCATTCAATCAGAATTACTTATTCAATTTTTACTGTTTGTTAACAAAATTTGGTTTTTTTAAATGTTGTCCTTGGTGCAGTAAAAAAAAAAAAAAAACATGTTTTAAGATGTTATATGTAAAACATTTTAATGTACCTTTTAATTTTTTTCCTTTTTTAGGTATTTTTTTTCCTATTTAGGTATTTTTTAGATATGCAAAGGTAACTTTTATATTTTGTCAACTATGTTTTTATGTATTACATTTACGTTCAGAATATTACGGGCATTATGACCAACTGCAAAGATTTTGTTAATAAAATAAACAAAATCTTTGCATTTTTCTGACATTTAACAAAATGTTAATTTTGTTAAACGTCAGAAAAATGTTGTCAACTAACATCTGCAATGTCAAAAATAAAACAACATCTGAACAATGCTGGTTGTACAAACAAGTAATTATCTTCCTTATAACTTAGACAGACCTTAAAAACCATAATGTGTGTCTATTAATATATGTACATATACATATATAGTGGTACTTTTTATTTGAAGATTAGCATTTTATTTTTTTATAACTTGCTGGACGAAGAAAACAAAATCAAAGTGTTTGTATTTTCAACATTATTGTTTTCTCTTTTACATTAAAAACAATTTCATAAGAAGTACATTATAACATTATTTAGGTTAATAAATCTTTGTAAAGGTAATATTTTGTTTTTTCTATATAATAATTTATTACAAAACTTCATATTGATAAATAATTTTAAATTATTAATTTTTTTAACTTTACTGGTATAAATATGATTGTAGTTTAACATTATTTTTTTATTGATATTATTCTGAAAAAATTTAATTATTTTTTCTGTTTTACCATTATGTAGTGTGCTATTATGTCTGAATGGTGTCGTGTAAAGTGGCTTGAAGAAGACAAGGTTTACTCTGACACTGTTACTTTAAGTTGGATTAATGGTAAAGTTTTGAGATGGCCAAAAAAAGGGGCTGAAAAAAAGTTAAAGGACCAGGTTGAACCTCAAGATGATTGGTTCAAATTTCAAGTTCTCAAAATTAAATTAACTGATAAAGATTTTATGACTTGCCATTCATATAATATTACAACTGATACTGACTCTTTTGATTTTGATTTTAAAAAAGATATGTCTCAAGTTGCAAAAAAAAGTAAAAAGTAATTTTTTGTGTTTGCATGTTAAGTTATATTTTCTGATATTTATTTTTAAAATTTTTTTGTTGACTTAATTATTTTTTGGAATTAATTTTTTTGAGTTAATTTTTTTAAATCAAATTTTTTTTTCATTGAATTATTTATTTTTTTATTTTTTATTTTTTAACAGTTTACAGTAGACTTCCTCCAAAGCCTGAAATCAAATCAGGTTTTAGAAATAAAAAAGCATTTACCCCAGAATTAGAAAAAGAACACCTAAATCTTTCACAAGAAGCTAGTCAGAATAAAGTAAATATTGATTTGAATCAACCTACCCAGTCAGTATTTAGTTTTCA